TGAGATGATGCAAAGTAATAAAAGCAATGTACCCTATAGCTGATGACAGCTCATCTGTATTTCCCAGTGCTTCGAAAACATTATCTTCCTTTGGCCTCCTCTCTCCTGTGAATGTGCTGGAGAAACCTGAACAGAAAGAATTAAGTCAACTTTTGTAAATATATTTTGCTGCAAAGACAATTTGAGCTACAAATAAATTACCTTTGTCTCCAGTTTTAGTGTATATTTTAGGTGCCTTGTTATCTCCTCCACTGGTATAACTGTTGAAAAAAAGAGTGAATTATTATTAAAAGCGTTTCATAAAACGTTATCAATATTTTGTAACATAAGACAGCGAAACTACAAATGTTACACTTTACATTTATATTTCAACACACAATAGAGCTTTATATACCTTCTAGCTGAACACAGTATTATTTTATGCTTGCTTATGAGACTGCGAGTCTGCACAAAACATCGGAGGAGAGAAGGTTTAATGATAAACGATGTCATGTTTAAGTAAAGGTTGAATGAATGTTTAAGCTAAACGCTAACAGCAACATGTAAATATTGGCTAAAGAAACAATTTGTCCCTCTGCGGTGTCCGTAGTTAAAGGGTGTTTCTTTTTCATCGCGTGATTGGTCAACTCATCTCGTCTCAGCAAAATACTGGACGCTGATTGGCTAAAAGAAAACGTGTTCTGCTATCTGCAGCGCTGATTGGATAATAGGAGTCGAATCCAGCTCTTCTGTTTTCCTGCATGTAAATCATGTTTTAGTTTTGTCGCTAGTCGCGGAAAGTAGTTACACTTTACAACGGTTAAGAGGTATTTGTAAAAATATACGTATTTCGTTAAATTTCCAAAAGTGTCTGGTCGTTCGTGAAGAGTAGTTACATGGTGGAGCTGTCGGCTGGTTGTTGCAGTCTCAGCGCGCTAAGCCTGCAGTGACTGAGCGATAATCCATCCATCTTTACCGCTTCTTCCTTTTCGACTTGCGGGGAGTGATAATGAAAGTAATACTGTCTGAAAAGTTGATTAAGGCACGTCGTTTTTGACCGAAAACTTATCGAAATGCAGGTCAGAAACTGTCTGGTTTCTGCTCCTGGGAAGGCGATCCTCCATGGAGAGCACGCTGTTGTTCACGGAAAGGTAACGTTAGGGAACCATAATAATAACGTATATAAATGTATATTAATAAAATATTTTCAGTGTTTATAAGTTGCGAGCTCACACTGTTATTCCTCAATACCGCCATATAGGTAATTTTAAATACATGCACGAACAAATCTTTAATTTGCTTGTCTTGTTTTTTTTATTGATTTTTTGTATGTTCCAGGCGGCTCTTGCTGTGAGTTTGAACCTGAGAACATATTTGCGATTAAATGCCACATTTAATGGAAAAGTCTGCATCAACCTCCCAAACATGGACACCTTCCTCTGCTGGGATCTGTCTGAACTGAAGCAGCTTGTGACCTGTTCAGGTGGTAAGAACAGATGCAGAACAAGAGGTCTACCATTTGTTTAGTTACATGAGCAGCACACTGACCATATTTACTGATTCATTTTTGTACAGTAAGTGTGTCCAGGCTTTGGACTGATACTGTACAAATGTCAATAAGGAGACAAGCTTTGCTTTTTGACACAGTGAAACTTTTACCATACCACTTTATTTATAGAGCACTTAAAACAGCTGCAAGGCCAACCAAAGTGCTGTACAGACAAAACAACAGGTAACACACAAAGCAAAATACAAAATGAGGTAAATCAGAAATATAGACATGAAAACGATGCAGATAATGACGACAAACCAGTGTGGAGCATACAGGATCAAAACACAGATCATCTGGTGTTGAAAGCT